CAGTTGTAGCCCATGGTCATAATAGTACTACGGTAAAATATCCGATGCTAATGACTTTTCCTACCTAGAGATATTGAGACTTGAATATTTGACCCTCACCCTTACCTTCTGGTGAAATATTCGAGTCTCAATATCTTAAGGCAGGAAAAGTCATTAGCATCGGATATTTTACCGTAGTACTATTATGACCATGGGCTACAACTGTGGCAAATTTCAAATCAAAATTCGAAAGTCGGGTTTTGCTAGAAGTCCAAGCTCTATAGGCAAAAAGACTGACTAAAAATCCAGTACGTCAGCAATAATGTACCATGTAAGTTGGGGTATTTCACTACTTGTTAGGGCCTTTCTAACAAAAATAGTCTCAATCCGAAATCGATTTATAACCTTGGGTGGTTCCCTTGTGAGATATAGGTCTTTCTATTGGAAAAGATAGCTTTTCTGCATACCGATGCTTCAGTGGTGGCTCCAGGATTTTTGTTGAATCATGCGGACACTCGAAATTCTCCTCTGAAGAGCAAGTCCTGCTTTAGATGGTCATCCAGGGTAGTGTTTTCTCATTTTTTAGGTCATGCGGTCGCATTGATCCGCTCGGTGGTGGATCCGCCAATGCGATGCTTACAGTGAAATGATCGCAGCTCTTTAATAACTTGACAAAATTCAATGCTTTTTTAGTGTAGATACCTGGAACATCACCCTACATAATATGATCTGTCAAACGACTCATTAGAATGCTCCCTTTCAGAGTTATGGGGCTAGAGCAAAACATGATACCACCCATCATAAATAGTTTTTCCAGTCAGACAAATGAGTCGTGGCGGTTCTTGACTCACATTCTTTGAACGCTATTACTAGAAAATATCTCAGTCAATTCGGGATTACAGACACTGAGTTTCACCATCGGAATACTTTGGCCAGTAGTGTATTATGCTATGAGATCGACTTCTACACTCCTGTTCATATATGACGAGCTTGACTCCTCTAACAATAACTGACACAAAAATTTCCAATCCGATTTTCCACAATGTTTCACTAATTCTCACACATCTCACATTTAAGTTTTGTTCGAAAATCTTCAATGTTCTTAGTCTTAGTGATGCTTTTTTAAGATTTTTCAATTTTTTTCAACAATTGTTACGCCATTAAACGTGAAAATAAGAGTTCAACGTATTTTCAGTGTAATATCTTTTATTTTAACATTTGATTGTCGAAAAAGTCAAAGTAATTTTTAAAAAATTTAGAAAGGAGAAGATCTTCTAACGCACCCAACAAATCATGTGTTTCAGAGTGTCTTCTAATCTTAGACAATGAAATTAATCCTTCCTTCACTAGTAGGGTGCGGATAATTAGTCATCTAGTGTTTATGTGGTGTATTTAATGAGGCATGTTGCAATACACGTTACTTAGAAGAGCATGTGACAATTCTTTGCATTTTGTCTGTAGAGGTGCAACTGCATCAAGGTCATATTTCTAATTTTTGCAGTTTTTTTTCGAGTGTTTCTAGAGCTCTGAAACTTCTATAGAATAGTTCTGTATGGATTAAGAGTTGGACAGCACAAAAATAAAAAGTTTCCAAAATTTCCAGAACCAATACGACTAGCCGGTACGAGGAAGCGGGAGCAAACAATTTCAATATCGCTGCAGGAAAAATACCTATGTTAGGTTTGCAGCCCATAGTCGACTTGGTATCACAACATGGTTGATCTTTGTTGGGGTTGGTATCCCATAGTATCCTAAGGCAGATGTTGTCACATACCCAGATCAGTTCAGATTCGTATCCTCAGGAAAAAACCACATGACTTTGGCCTACACCCAAAGGTGGTTATTTTCTTTGCAGCGACATTGAGATTTTTAGCGCTCGTAAGCACTACGTATTGGCTCTGGGGACTTATGAAAAGAAGCAGCAGACATTTTTTGTTTTCGCGCTGTCTAACTCATAATCCATACTGCACTATGCCTTGAAAGTTTCAGTGCTCCGAAATACTCGAGGGAAAACTACAAAAATTTGTAATGAATCAAGCTCGATGTGCAGAAAGAACGCGAAAAGGTTTCATTGTAGGGATGCATAGAGAAGTTTTTGGAAAAAGAGATTCAACAGTGCCGACAAAATCTAAGTAAGTTGATTACGAGCTACAAGAAAAAAATCCTTGAAAACCAAACACAATTCATTCCTTAACTAAAAACGACTATTATGGAGATAAATGTGAATTAGAGGCTCAGAAACTCAGCTGCCCTATTCGAAGCATAATGCACAGGTTCCACCAAAAACGCATTATCTCAGAAATGAAAAGGAACCTTCATTGAAGCAACCTTCATGGAAAGCATACGTAACCTTTTTCGTGATGTTATGACGAGTATAATCATGTAAAAATATTGGCTTCAACCTAAATCTATAAAGACTTAAATCTATAAAGAATCTACAAAGCACTTAGAGCTGCCGGATGAATCATTTTGTAGAAAAATGTTTGCCCTACCAAACTGAAGTGCCGGAAGAAATTTTAGTGTTATCTCTGACAGAAATTCAGAAAATCAAAACTGAGCAAAACTGCGAAAAAATAATTGACTATCGATAATTTTTCTGCGATTTTATAAATGATGCGGAACAGCTTTGCCGAATGCTCTAACATCAATTTTTAATCGGTGCATCCCTGATTGGTTATACTTTGATTTAAAACGGGATATAGAGCATGCGTCTGTACTGTAAAAGTAGGCTGAACTCCAGCGAGCCAATAAGCAATAATATTGTGGAATCCAATATATCAGGTGACCAATATTATGGCGACCCAATATATTGTACTAGTGCATGGCTACTTTTCTATGAGTTATTTATAAGCTCGAAATAACCAACCATTTTCTTTTTTATTTTGACAATTCAGGAGGCAAAGACGATTATTTGTTTTTTATTTATTTCCCAAAGCAAAAGGAAATTGAATAACGACGAAAAGAAACGCTCTAAGGGAAAAGTTTACAACGAGGATCAGTTTTGAAAGTTTCCATCGATAAACCAATGCCAGTATCATTGGCAATTTCATGTTGTACACAAGTGCTCGCTTTAATCTACAGACCTGAATTATTGTGAGTGACATTATTTTGCACCTTCCATTTAAATTTGACTTGAACACCGATGTTCGAGAACGGAACCAATTTTTTGGCGACCTATTTGCGTTTCCGTAAATCGTGTGATCGACATTGCGAGTCTTCATTGCAGCACTGCAACACAGACACGGTGGTTTCGATGCTCCTATTCTCCTCGGTTTACGGTTATTTATTGTGCTATCTTCTTGCAATATTCCAGGATTTTTCTAAAATCAAATAATTTGCATTTCACTATGTGGCGCTCGGCATTCTGCCTGAGTTCTTGGCTGAGATTTTTCCTCCAAGAACAGAACTTTATAACATCCTTTGAGAAGGTTTTTTCAAGGCAAGCAATCGACATAATTCTTTGCATTTGTCTTCAGTGATACCATAGGTTTGTTGTCCATTCACTGTTTCAACATGATTTAGTGCCACATACACAGGTTCATTATGAATACCTACGGCTACCGTATTGAATCGTTGATCAGCTGGTAGCAAGTCCTTATTTAGTTCTGCGTGGATAACACTGGCGATAATATTTCGATCGTTTCGTAATTTTGTAGATTTGTCAACCAAATGCTCCAATTGAATGTTATTCTGTGCAACGTTTACACGATCTGCAATGTGAACTGCACTAGGATCCTTTGGCAAACGATCGGCGTGTTCAGCTTGTGCTCGAAAGTCTTGCAGCGTCGTTTTATAATTATTATCCACGGTTTGAATGATGCGTTCACGAAATGTAGAAACCGTTTTTTTTTTCAATTCTTTTCCTAATTCTGATTCATTTCTGTTCAACTTCTCAGGTAACCATTTATTGAAATTTTCTGTAACTGCATTGATTTCTCTAGCTGCATCGTCGCTTCATAAAGCACCTGTAGCAAGATTGTCAATATCATCCAAGCATTTTTTAATACCTTCGCGGATCTCTTCTGATAAATGCTTATTCTCGCCGAAAATTTTTTTTAATGCATGTTGAACGTCAGCTACATGTCGACCATAAAGAACTTCGCAATTGTAATTATTTTCTTTAATTGCACCACCATAACTTCCTTTTTTGATTGCAAATTTATGCCAGTCTTGAGAAATAGTATACTGAAGACTTTCCTCATGTTCGATATAGTCTGATAAATGTTCTCGGAAAGCCTACCATCTGAGAATACTGTTTTCAATATTGGCACTTGGCTCATCAGCGATTCATATAGACAATTATTTTGTGATGCTTCACTGCTTCCATTAGCAGTTACACTGAAATGATTATTGTCGAGTGTCAACGTTATTGTATGTGATGGATCTGACGAACTCGAGTACTCATGCGACGATCCATCAGCACCTTCAACAGTAATGCGAATACCCGTAAATGAGTTTTCACCGTCAGCAGTTATCAACTGGAGCATACACTGATGTATTACGTTGGTACATGCCTGGGTGCACGTCATATTCAAAGGCACATTTTCACGAATAATATTTGCAAATAGTGTTGCATCTCCTGTCTTAACTAACAGTCTTACTAGTGATTTATGATAAGTTTTGAGTTCATTCTTATTTTTCTCGAAACTCAGTTTGCCATCTTTTACTTTAGCATCAAAATCTTTTTTGAGCGTCTCGAATTCTTCTCGATACTTTTCTTCTTTGTACGAACGATATTTCTTCTTGATCGAACTACCGACAAAACCAACTAATTGATTAGCACCATAAGATAACAGTGGCGCAACCAGTTGATTAACAATTGCTTGATTAGATGCTTCAATTAGTGTTTGTTTCCATTGGTGCATTGTCTGGTCACAGACTACATTGACTTTTCGTTGTGAAGCCGTCGATGTCCCTGTCAACGATGTTGACGATTCATGTTCGTGAAGTGTTTCTTGAATGATTTTTATTAGCAGTCTTAAGGAAGGCTGCACCTGATTTTTTTATATTGCATATCTCATCCATAACACTGTAATGTTTTAATATCTGTTGGAGATATGCCAAAGTGGACATCAATTGTGACGCGGGTGCTTTGCCACTTGCCTTCGACATTTTTCGAGTACATTCGGCAATACCACGTGAAATAGATCCATACAAGCGTGTGCAATATGCATAAATTGTTGTAAGAATCGACGTCTTCCCAAAGTGCTCTCTCGTCACCTGATCCATGAGCAAGTGTGCCTGATTTCCACCCATTGTATCGAAAGCTTGAAGTACGGTCTCATTAAGATCATGTTTCTGGAAGAGTTCGTCAAGATCTGCGGCTACTGTTTTCTGAATTGCATTGCAGAGTCCATGTAAGTGATTAGTAACGATCTATATACAAATGACCAAGTTTTAGAAATTCATTCAACTCATAGATGATTCAGCTGTTCTAGACTGCAGCTCGATTGCTGTTAAGATTAGATAACAGGTGTGAAACATTTTTTGTTTCAGGTTTAAAGAACCTTTTCTTTGTTACACTTTCTTATACTGTATATATTCTTTTTTGCTTTTCCAATAGTATACTCTGAGACTATGAAGACATGAAACCTATCCTAATCTAGAAATAGTTATTCTGGTGATCAAATGACAAGTGCTTTGGCAATTTGGAGTCACTGATCGTGATGAAATGATTCTAAAATCGATGAGAACCGCCACCATGGTATAATAATTCTTTAACTTTGTAAAAGAATGGTTTGTTAGTAAATTCATACATTCTAAAGTTTGTCTGGCTGATATGACACTATGAGTGTTTCTCTGGTGATTATTATTCCCAGCGCTGAAAGAATAATAAATATTGGCTATTAGTTTTTTAATTTGGAGACATTATATAAGAAGACGTAGTAGATCCTTAAATGAATAAAGGCAAATTGTTAAATGTTTTATGTCGCATCCATTGATCGATGATTGATAAAGTGGGAATCGACAATATTTCAGCGAGATAATGTATCCTTTTTCATATCTGTGAATATAGATTTTATTTGCTTTCTTATCGAATTTGTTTAGAAATAACGAATGGATAACTCAATTCTTTTAATAATGGCAAACTGATCAAAATCTTGTTCAGTGTTACAATCGATATCAAATTCAACATTGTTAAGGCTTCTAGTCGAGAGAAATTTTCGATCGAGAAGAAAGAGAAAAAGATTTTTGTGATTCAGTGCATCTGTGGTAGATAATTTGATTGAATCTAAGTTATTTAAGATTTTTAGGAATTAGGTCCGTATTATAGCATCAAATATTGATTTCTTTTTTATATATAAAAAATTAATGTACATTGGCATACGACAAACTATGATGCGAAATCTTGTATTCAAACGGGCAAGTATCGAATAGAGATCGGAGCTATTTATACAGTTGAAAATTTCCATGACAATTGTTCAATCAACAATGGTATTTTTGGGCAACAAAAAGCGAAAAGTAGCCATAATGGATTTTATCATATGAAACAGATTATGAGCACTGACAAATAAACTAAGCATGGCATCAGTCTTCTAGCATTATGAACATATTTGTTCTAGTTATATTCGTGTACAAAATTTTTGATGCCTATGGCATGGACAATATTTTTCAAAATGTAGTAGCCTATATGTTTTCGACCATCATGATCATAAACATCATAGTTAGAGTTCGAAAAAATATACGTTAGACTAGAATATGCTTTCTTTTGCCACTATAACTAACCATCATCATTATCGACCATCCTTTAACCGTGTGAACGAGTTTGGAATCTAAAGCTTGTAAAGTAAAGTTTTAAAAAGTCGATCTTTCTACATTAATTAAAGGAGAAATGATCGGAAAACCATGCATACTATAGCACTGGTAAACACTTTGCAACATAATCACGTCCTAAACTAAGAAATAGTATACATAGATCTATGCAGTTTTCCATTACATACTCGAATATGCTCTTTAAATTTGAACGAAAGATGTATTTCCTGGCGAAATTTCAAGAATAATAGAAGGTTTTAGGTGGTATTCGCTGAATTTCGTCAATAAGCAACGTTCGGTACCAAAATAAATGATATATATATATAAGCTGCTCTGCCCAATACTTTGTGTTTTTCTGTGGTAAAAAAAGCATCATGCGACAAATATCTCTACCTTTTCTTTTGTGTTCGCTCTTGTACGATAGCGGTATATAAAACGTGGTGTCCAAACAGTTTTCTGAGGAAAAATATTACTGAGTCTGAATATTATGAGTTTATAAAATTTAACAAATGTGAGAAGTATAGAAACATATTTTAGAGTATGTCGCCAGCGGTAATTTCTGTACTCATATCCAGGAATAATTAAACTTAAAAATGTACATAACATCTAATAAATAATAATTTCAATCTTCTTCATTAAGAAGTCGCGTTAGAATACAAATGGTGATGGCGCAGTGGTGGCGATGTTACTCTGCCGCATAACCTCTTAAAATCATTTGTAATGAAGCAATGCTTGAATAATTCTAATATTTCTCTTGTTTATTCTCTAAACGCGACGATTTCTTCATAGGAATTTATACATTTTTCTCGCACAGACACACTGGCAAAGTTAATTGTGGGTATGTGGGGAGGGGGGAAGCAACGTGAGAGTGAGTTCGAAAAGTAGTTTCAATCATAAGCTTGTTTCGTGAATCAGTATAGGATCACTGACGCCACTTTAAAGCGAACCGAAGCGAAAAATGTAATAAGTAAAAACTTATTTAAAAACGGCAATATGATTGTGGGTTTGTGCATGTTTGAACTATACGCAGAACTTGAAAGTTTTGTAAATTTCTCTTTCGAAAAATCGAAGAAATGTCGATGTTACTTTTATTTTTGGTGTTCTTTTTGTCCTTATATACTTTATTGTCTTTTTTGTCTTGTTCGTCCTTATTGTCCTTTCTATTCTTCTTGTACTCTGCATCGATGTTCCCGCATGAGAGAGCAGAAGGAAATCTTAGATTTTTACCTTGTGACAAATGCAAAATTGTCACACTGTGCAGATTGGTTTATTAAGAAAAATAACTCATCTAAAATGTGACAATCCGAATCATAACCATTCATCATTTCTCATTGAACTAGCATCGATTGTATTTTACATAAAGTATCTTAGGTTAGATGACATCAATCATTTTACTACTGCTGATACTAAATTATTACTAACGCCAAAGTTAGCAATTGAACATGCGCAACAGTATTTTAAAAATCTAATTTAATTACACATGTGGATGAAAGCAAACAATGAAATTGATGAAGTAGCATGTCGTGAATTGAAACAATGGTTAGTAAATTATAAAAGGGAAAAAAAATTTTTTCCGAAAAATATCTTAGTTTCAATATTTGGTTTTAAGTAAATCGATGGAAATGTTATTCGAGAAATAAAATGTAAAACTTACTACTGTTTTGCAGATCCAATGAAAGTCGAACAACGCATATCCGTTCTACTTCAATAATACTGAGCAAGTAAAACACCTGCAGAGCCACTTGAAACACCTCAGCTTATGTAGAAAATAAAATTTAAAACAAAGCAGTTTGATACTTTTGATGCACTTCAATTGTATCACATTGTCATCTGTTTGTCTATTAATAATATTAATTCAAATTTCACTGAAACAGATGCTGCAAGAACAGTCTATTGTAAATGCTACCACAGGCAACAAATAGATGATGAAAATCGATATGGCAAGCGGATACTCTCCAAACAACCAAAACAAAAACTAAGAGTAATAATGAGTCTAAAGATTGGAAGCATTACATTTAAAAGACTTAACAAACAACGATTCATTTAGAGAAAATCTAGCTCTAATTCTTCTAAGCTTCTTTTAACAATGCTATGTCACCCTGACCACATCTCTTCTGAATTCGTTTTTCACCCATCCAAGTTTTCTTTAAACTATTTATTTGGCTTTCATTCTTCTGCTCAATCATTAGTTTGATTCGTATTATAATGCAAAACACTTTCAATGTGACACATCTTGAATGCCGAAGGCATCTATAGATGACATGAGGGAAATTTTATATGTTGCATATGCTTTTTCGTTCTACCGATTTTAAAAAAAAGACTGCCAGAGGAACACATGTTATGAAAACAGCAGAACGCAAAGAGAGATAGTCAATTGTTTGTTTTACGATTTAGTGCGCATAATCTACCTAAAGCTGTATCGATTCGTACAAATCCACATGAATTTTTGTAGTTTTTTTAAGACTCGTTGCAAATTTCCATGAAT